GTGGGTTATGGAAGTTCACCGACTATGAGCGATTGGTGCTATTATGTCCGCCCATGCTATCGACGGTTCGTGAGGCGGTCTGCCATGCAGCTAGATAGGTACCTTGCATGTAGGTATGCAAGAACTCCACAGCTGAACTGACGTGGTAGACTTACGAAGGATGTGTTATACTTTTTTTCAATCCACTGTGGTCTTATAGTCGCTTCAGACCTGTCAATCAGGTCGATGGATGGCTGTTGATGCGTTGCTGGCGTCGCCGCGATGAGCCTTGTTATTGGTCTGTCACGGTGGTTCGGCTTGATGGCGGTGTGTGGAAATGTACGAATCGGGTTCATTCTGCAGTCATTCATCGCCTGGCAATACGGACTGTGGGTATGAATGAGTGACGGAGCTTTTACTTGTTTGTGAATGCTGTGTTGTTGGTGAGGAAGCTAGACCATGCTTGAAGCTGTCGACAACGCAGCTCAAAAGCTTCAACGTGCCAAGCTTCTAGAACCTGAGAAGAATAAGACTCGGAGCGGATAGGTGGGCGATCACGAAATTAGCCGCTTATGACGAGGGGGGGGGAAACCTCTTCTTTGATCAGTTGTTGTATATAAATTGTGATTGTCGGCGTATAGGCTATCTTCTACTGGTGCCTGGCTGACAGACCGGAAATCCGTAGATTGCCAATTGCTCATTCGTATTCGTGGTATCGCGATCCGGAGTCCGAGGGCCCCTTTACTTTATCCTACGGCAGAGTAATCAGAGATCGATAGGTTTACAGGCGAGATGCAATCAACATCGTGCAAGGTATTAAACAAGATGGAATATTAGAATATAGCATCAAATGAGTTGACTTCCTATGATTAAGGCGCAACTCGGATTTTCCGCTCGTACTCTTAGCCATTGCAAGTTATATAATACAACAAATAATCAAGTTGACCATTCAGCGTTCTTAACAATGGTTCCTGCACGGATGTCATCGAGGCAAAGCGGGTACTAAATCCTGTTTATGCCGTTTACCCTGCAAAGCCAATGCGGATAAGGAAAGGAAAAGCTATTCCAAAATGCCCGATAACCAGTTTGATGTTTCATCTGGTAATGTGTGTCTCGGGATTATCGCGTAGGATTCGGGTATCTCAACACGGGCGGGCGTTAATATTATTCACTGTCACCGTACCACCCCACCAGTGACAATGACAGTATCGGAATCTTTGACGCGTTCCTATCAAACAATCACACGTGAAAGAATTAAATGGCTAGTGAATGATTGAATGAAAAAAATTATTGAATAGGTAGAAGAATTGAATGTTTTGTTTGTTCCAAATGTACTTAGTTTTCCGCACCTTCGGGGGTCGCATTACGAAGACATGGTCTTGAATTGTTTCACACTTCGCAAATCAAAAGAAGAAGAAAAACAAAGCCAATTTGTACTCCCCCGATCAAGTCTAGTGCGAGTACAACCCCCTTTAATCATTTGCGTTTTGGGCACGACATAAACCGTGCTCCCTTTGGGCAGCAGAAATCCCTACGTGGGAGAAGAAGAAGAAAAAAAGAGAGAAAAAAAAAAGAGGGAACCCAAGTTTTCTCGAAACAAGAAAAAAAAAGAGCAAAAAAAAAATTAACCAACTTCATCGACATTCGTTTTATCAATTGCTGCTTGCTGCTATTCTTGTTCACTGATTTTAGAGGTGTTTTTTTGTCGACTCTTGTTGCGGCGGGTCCGAATGCTAATACGATCTGCACCGGTGCTAACAAGTTAATTAGTACGGATTTTTAGCAGGAAGGTTTTTTTTAGCAAGCAATAAGGGCAATAGGGGAGAGGGGGGAAAAGCGACAAGAGTTGGAGTCGAGGTACATACGAAAAAAACATCTTGGCTTTTTGGTCCTTTTTTTCGGCACCATGCCACTTCAGTGGTGGGAGGACTTTGGCGCGAAGCATCCTAGAATATATGACACATCGAACGCCCTGGCGGAGGCCATCAAGCCCTATGTGCCGCCCGTCAACTTCATCACGCTTCACTATGCTTACTTCATCCTCACCTCGCTCATCGGCTCCCTCATCTTCTGGGGGGCTTCGGCCCCGGCCCGGAGCATCGGATGGTGGGATAGCGTGTTCATGGTCATGTCGGCGATGACCGCGTCCGGCCTCAACACGGTCAACGTTAGCCAGCTGACCACCTTCCAGCAGGTCGAGCTGTGCGTGTTGATGATGATAGGAAGCCAGGTCTTGATCTCCTACGTCACCATCGCATTCCGGAAGCACATCTTCGAGAAGCGATTCGAGGACATCGTGAAGACGGAGCGGGAAAAGAGAAAGAAGACCATGTCGGGAACGGGTGCCGTGGTCGGCATGACGGGCGCCATGTTCGGACTGCAGGTCATGTCGTCGTTCGGAAAGGGACGCGCGCGGCCCAGGCCGCGATCCACCCGGGTGAGTGCGCTAGGCGCGCGGAGATCGTCCTCGGCATCGGAGGAGCACTCCTCCGTTCCGGACGTCCAAGTGGAGGACGAGACGGGCCAGCAGCAGCATCCGCAGCAACACATCAACTTCCTCGAGCCCATCCAGGAGGGCAAATCTCTCGAAGGCCAATCGGCGGCGGCGGCGGCGGCAACCGGGCACTCCATCTACCAGACGCAGTCCCACCAAACCGCCCCGACGAGACGGAGGTCCCACACGGGGGGATCCAGGGGCACGTTCGAAGGCTTCAACGTGCAGACGTTCCTGACCGAGCAGAAGCGCAACATCGGTCGGAATAGCCAGTTTTTCAACCTGTCGGAGGATGAGCGCGAGTACCTCGGCGGCGTCGAATACCGCTCTCTCAAATTCCTCTCCGTGTTTGTGCTTGTGTATTTTGTTCTCTGCCAATTCTTTGGCGCCATCGCCCTTGGTGCTTGGATGTCTGTCTACGCGGTCGATACCGCCGCTGTCAACGCGCAGAACCCGTGGTGGGCCGGCATTTTCCTGGCCATCTCTGCGTACAACAACGCGGGTTTCACTCTGCTGGATGCGGGATTCGTTCCCTTCCAGGCCTCGTACTTCCTGCTCGTCGTTGTTACCCTGCTGTCGCTGGCCGGCCCCGCGGCTTTCCCTGTCTGCATGCGCTTTATAATATGGACCATGTCGACGCTCCTAAATCTCTGCTCCAAAGATAAGGAATATGGGGTCTGGAAGGAGGGGTTCGACTTCATATTGAAGTTTCCCCGTCGTGTGTATACGAGCTTGTTTCCTGCCAAGGATACCTGGATGTTTGTGCTCTCATTCGGAGGTTTTGTTGTTGCGGATTGGTTCTTGATTTTGATTCTTAGTATCGGGAATCCGACCATGGAGGCTATTCCGCTAGGCCAGCGCATATTTGACGCGCTGTTTCAGGGATTCTCGATTCCTTCGGGAGGATACGCCATCGTATCGCCATCGGCCATTTACTTCGACGTCCAGGTGCTGTGGCTAGTGGTATACTATACAGCAGCGTACCCGCACATCATCACGATGCGAAACTCCAACGTGTACGAAGAACGATCGCTGGGTATATACGAAGGCGACCAAGCCTCGGAAGAGCAGCTGCACTCCGCAAGCAGCAGTCTCTTCGACGTGGACGCCGCCATGAACCCCCAGAGCGAACAGGGCCTTCCCGCACCCGCAACCAGCATTAGTAAGAGTAACTGGGATGTGGCGTCGCGGACGCAGTCCACGAGATCCATCAAGAAGATCTACTCGGTCGGCCGCCGCGGCACCGCCTTCGTGGGCCGGCAGATCCAGAACCGCATGACGGCCTTCCAGGGCGTCGGCGTCGGCGCGCCCGCGGCGCCGCCGGGGATGAGGCCGCTGCGGCGCGCGGCCACCATCAACTTCAGCCAGGTGTCGGTGCACTCGCTCGGCGACCGCGTACCCGCGACCGGCCCGCCTTCCCTCGTCTCTCAACAGGTGCGGGGGCAGCTGAGCCACGACGTGTGGTGGCTGGCGCTGGCGCTGTTCCTGATCACGCTGATCGAGACGAGCCACTCGATCGCCGACCCGGCCACCTACAGCGTCTTCACCATCCTCTTCGAGATCGTCTCGGGCTACACCAACATCGGCATCAGCATCGGCCTGCCCGACCAGAGCTACAGCTTCAGCGGCGGGCTGTACACCGGCAGCAAGATCATCATGATCTTCGTCATGCTGCGCGGTCGCCACCGCGGTCTTCCCGTAGCGCTCGATAGAGCCGTGCGGCTGCCGGGCAAGAAGCTTGCCGAGGATGAGGAGGAGGATGCGGAGATTCGGAGTTTGTCGGCTCTTTCGCGATAGATTTTTTTTCTTTCTTTTTTTCGATTTGGATTTGGTGTCTTTTTTTTTTTTCCCTTTTCCTTTGTTGTAGATGACATGCGTTTAGAACTAAATACTTGGAATACCCACTTACTGCTATGCTATATGTACATATTAATATCAAGAAATCGGATCTGCCTAACGTCGTTTAGCTCATAGCTAGTCTATGCGCTAGGATGATCTAGGTAGAGGTTATGTCGATGATCATAATAATTTCTATGCCCTATTTTGAGTGATGAATCTAGTGATTTCTTTCTAGTTTGACTGGATGGAGTTTCATATCTTAGGTCGGTTCAGTCCAAAGAAATGAAGCTAGAGAGTTGAGTTTGAAAAAACGACGTGATGGAATTAAAGAGAACGACACCGCTTAGGGAAAGTGACGTGAGATTAAACTTAGTCATCTCCATCGTTGTAGATGTTTTCTAATGCTCCCGAGACGATCAAATGACAATCATAAGGGTGGATAGGTTAACTACCTAGTTATGTCACAACCGAAAAGGATACGGCGATGAATACAACCTGTCCTCTCTCAAGTTGGTTCCTCCAACTTGCCAGCAGGGGCGCATCTTCTACCGACGACCAGCAGCACCAACATCGTGGCAGAGGACCTCCAGAGTAGTGGCGTATAAAAAACAGGTGCTTCGTTTTATCCAACTTGTATTTAAACTCAAGAAAGCATAGGAATGCGCAAAAAGACATAGTTGAAGACAACCGCCCCCGGTGGGACTCGAACCCACAGCCTTTGGATGACTTCGCCGACCGGAATTGCTCGTAAAAGTCCAACGCTCTAGCCATTGAGCTACGAGGGCCTTAACGCAGCCTATACATCCTTTTGATTTGTATTGTAAAATTATATTGCTATATATCTCATTTTCGAACTTTCCATTCCTAAACTAGCTGTCGTGAGTGATTCGAGCACACTTCGCCCTGCGTGATACCATCTGCGTAGAAGTCCTCAACTAACCCTTACCTAGGCACTGCTATTGACGTCCGGTTGGAAGACTCAAGGCATGTGAGAACTTCAACCAAGAAGATCTTGTCCAGTACGCTCCATGTCAGCACCGGATAGTTTCCACCCCAAGTGAAGGGATGAAATCCGAATCTTCTTCTGTAGACTTTCGATCCACGTAGAACGGTGTGAAGAGTTGTTTGGAAAACCTACCTGTCGGTTTGGGTGAGTTCCCGCCGATAAAGTTGCTTAGAAAAAGAAGTCGAACGACGGCGTCGAATTGCTTTCTCCCTCCCCCCGTGCGATAAGAAGATGCCGTTGATGAAAAGGCCTCGGCAGGTTGGAACCAGCTCATGAGAATCGCCAGGGTATACCTCGAATGATATGGTTCCTTTACCTTGAGTTTCATACTTTGAATGCGTCGAGGCTGAACATGTATGTTCCATCAAACGCTCTGAGAATCAAGGAACTCCTAAACTCTTACACGCTCTAGTCAATAAAAGATGATTCCCAGTAACCCGGGTTCCCAAGTACGGTAAATTTGGATATTTACTACCTGATTCTCAAATCATATAAAGCCATGCATTCATTATCTTTAACCTTTTCCCTATCCCATACTCCTTAGTGCTTATAGTAAGCACGCCAACTGGTAGAGATAAACATGCCGCCCTCCTCATAAGCTCATAAGCCTTACTCATGGATAGATCGCCAACACCGATGTGATAAATTACATGTACAGACTAGCCACAGCTGTGATATCCCTCTTGATCATCTCCTGCGCGGCTTGCATCTTCTGATACAACTCGGGATCACCAATAATACGGGCCGCATTCTTGACCTCGCGACATGTCTCGTCAAGTCGGGTTATAGTACGCACGATGGTGCCCTCGAGGACATCCGTCAAATCGGTGATATTCTTGAAGCTCATACCACGAGCCCACTCGTACACGACCTCCATCATACCGAAGCGAGGGCGCGACACGAAATCGTTGCTATCGTCTGCGTTCTGTATGACTTGGTGTTCTGTCTGCACCGTATTCACCTTCTCGCTGATCTCGATAATTGTTTTCATGCCCCGCTCGAGGTTGCCCGTAAGGTTGGGTACCGATTCCGTCTTCTCCTGGAACACAAAGGCCGAGAGGAGGGCGGCAATTTCTGCTGGTTCGTAGTCCGCAAGCACGTTGTCGAGGATGAGCTCAGTCAGGACAAGCTCGTCTGCGGAATGGATTTCGCAGGCTACCTTGCCCTTAAGCTGGATGCGGGTGTCATCATCGATGAAAGAGAGATCCTTCAGAACCTGAATACGCTGTTCATAATCTGGCAGTAGCTGGAGGTTCTGATCTGCAAGGGCGGAGCGAAGGGACGAAATGTGCTCTTTGATAAGCCACTGGTCATGACACATAGCAAACTAAGAATTTGTTAGTATCCACCCTACGACACATATACCTCGGCGGCAATATAAATTGAAAACTTACGTGTTTCAAGAAGTTCCGACAGTAAGTAGTAGCGGTGACCTTAATGGTTGCCTCTTCCTGTCGGCGCTTTTCGATGATCTCCTGCAGTGGCAAGTTCTTGATCTTGGCGAAGCTAACCTCGTTCCAGATTTCCGACTCCCAAGTTTTGCAGATATTTGCCATGCGCTCCTTTGCTTTCTGACGTCCCTCTCCACCCTCAAAAAACTCGGGTACTATTCCTGCCGTGAGTTTTGCCGTGAGACACTCGATGTCGCTAAGCGGAACGTGAACGGTCTTGCAGTTCATAGTCTTTTTCGATTTTGGCAGAGACGTGTACAAGTATCGGAATGATTCAACGAAAGGCAGCAGATCAGTCGAGTCGCGAACTTCTCTCTCGGTTTTTATCTCAAATACGTGGACGGTGGGCTGACCTCCCGATGTCTTCGTGCTGACGCCGTTAGAAAGCAGGATTCCAGGAGTTCGCACTCCATCCTTGTTAAATACAATGAGTCGGGACTGCGTGAAGAGTTTCTTGCCAATTGGGATGGCTAGAAGGCCCTTGTAAAGCTCCTGCGTCAGCTGCTTGTAGTTCATGGAAGCTTGGTGGCAATCATCCAGAGAACTATCACAAATTTGGCAGGACTCCCTCTTTACCTTGGCCAAATCGGCTTCCGATAGCTTGACGGCCTTCTCATGCTCAGGGAGCAGTTGTTGGGTGGCATGCTCAGAGAAGCTGCGCTTAATCATCTCCTCGATCTTCAGTGCCTCCACTCTTAGAAGATTCAGAATCATATTGTATGTTAATCTGAACTGAGACCTTAGCTTACTAGGCGGGTCTAGTATCATCTTCTGAAGGTCAGTCACGGGCGGTGCTTCGTCCATATTACCAGGCGGCACGATGATGACGGATCCGACAGGATCGAGTCCACGACGACCAGCTCTGCCAGCCATCTGGGTGTATTCGCCAGGAAGTAAGTTTCGGAATGAATGTCCATCGTGTTTTCGATACCCGGAAAACACGACGGTTCTAGTCGGAAGATTGAGACCCATGGCAAATGTTTCTGTGGCAAAGAGAATCTTGACCAAGGTCTGAGCAAATAGAATCTCGACAATTTCCTTGACAATTGGCAGCAGACCACCATGATGCACGGCAATACCGCGACTCAAAAGCTCGCGCAGGCGGATAATCTGCGGGAGTACTCGATCCTCTGGACGTAGACGAGCGATTGACTTCTGGATAATCATATGAATATGACTCTTCTCTTGAGCAGTGGTGAAGTCCTGGTTGCTCAACGCATCTGCGTTCTCCTCACATCTCTTCTTGGAAAAGACGAAGATACAAGCTGGTAGAAGGGTTGACTTTCTTAAGAATTGGACAAGATGAACCCATAAGTTCTTGTCTTGGTTCGCCGAAGAAAAGCCACCTGGTCTTCCACCACGTCCCATATGACCTGGTGCATGGCTTGCTCTCGGTGGGCCACCTCTACCTCTCTGCTGACCACCACCTCGTTGACCACCGCGCTGTGGACCGCCTCGTTGAGGACCACCTCGTTGGTTGCCTCGTTGATTTCCACCACCACGAGCAGCAGGTGCTGGAAGAACCTTATCCTTCCCACGTATCGCTTGGTCTGCCTCCTTCCACCCCTTCTCTAAGAACTTCTTCTCGTGGCTAACGATCTTGTGGATGTTCTTGCCACCCCAAAGGTAATGCTCCAAGGGAACTGGTCGCTTAGGTGTTGAAATGACGTAGATATCCTTCTTCTTGGTCCTACCAACCCAGGAGGCAAACTCATACGTATTCGGAACCGTAGCGGAGAGTAGAATTAATGAAACATGCTCCGGAAGCATGATGATGACTTCCTCCCAAACGACACCACGCTCAAAATCGTTGACGTAGTGAACCTCGTCAAATATGACAAACTCTACATCTCGAATCAGGTCGGCACCTCTGTACAGCATACTCCTTAGAATCTCGGTTGTCATGATTAAACAACTCGCTTCTGGATTGATCTGAACATCACCCGTTAGAATTCCAACTTCGTCAAAAGTCTCGCGGAAATCTCTGAATTTTTGGTTGCTGAGGGCTTTGATAGGAGACGTATAAATGGCCTTGGTCATATGTCTTGCAGCTAGCGCAATCGCATATTCTGCCACAACTGTTTTGCCAGCTGATGTATGCGCGGCAACAAATACAGAATCACCACCCTCAAGATGATAGATGGCTTCCTTCTGGAAAGTATCGAGTTCGAATGGCCATTCTCTGGCCATATCAGGGACAAGTTCTCGGAAGTTAGTAATGTCGCGATTGATGTCCACCATGTGAGCCCATTCTCGACCAGCCTTCCTTGCAGTGGATGCCGCAAGATTATTATGGGGTTCTAAGGCTGGGAATTCCACAGGCAGTAGACTGTCGATGTCTTCGGAATCTTCATCATCATCGGGTTCCTCTTCGCGACGGTTCGTTTCCGTATGACCATTGGTCTCCTCAGTCTCTGGCCCTTGCTCAGGCTCTTGATCCAGCTCCTCTTCGATGGCCTTTGCTTCTTGCTCATTGACTTTGGATTTCTTATTGCTGAAATCAATACCTCTTTCCAAACCGGGTGCTACCTCAAGGAGTCCACCTTCAGCACCTAATTTAATTACACGCTCTAGCTTATTTTGGCTGCTCGGGGCACCGGAACGCAGCATCTGGTCTTCTACGGCTGCAGTGGCCTCAACACCTTCGAGACCACCAGGTGCGAATGGAAAGAAACCGGCAGCACCGCGTACAAAGTCGGCACGGCTACCAGGCTTGCGCATCAAGGAAGTCGAGTTCTTGGCTGTGGCGCTGTTTGCAGGTACAGTGACATTCTTGTACCCCGTTACTCTACCCTCAAGTCCCTGTCGCTGGAAGCGTGTAACTGTTCGAGTTTGAGTCGGGGCCATGCGAAAGAGCTCCGTAAGATCCGTCGGAGAGTCCCATCGTTGCTGTAGGCGGTTAAGCCACTCGGTAGAAAATGTGTTAGAGGGGGTTAGGAATTTCTCCTCGAGTTCTGCCTTGAGCGCAGCGGGATCCTGCTTCACTCGTTTGCGGGGACCTTGCTGTGAGAGGATATCGTCTATTGTCTTGTCACCTTCAATGTGAAGCTTCTGAAAAGCTTCCACAAGATTTGGAGACGCCATGATTACTCAAAACGTCGAACTCGACGCACTGAGCCGTTCCAGAACAAATAGTGATAAATTCACGATGTTACCATTGAAATGACGTTTGCGATGTACGAAGTGGGCAGCGGTGGTGGAAAGCCTAAGTGGATCGTGTTTCCGTTGCTTATCGATAAACAAATGTATCAATAAAGCTTGCCTACGGTTGTCGTCGATTTAGAAAATTAGGAACTATAAAAGAGCACGGATTTGAAAGAGGTACGTA